GTCGCAAGTCGCTCCGGGCTACTTCAACCATGTCTATGTGATTCAAACGGACACGGGCAAGCTATGGGCAAGCTATGATGTCTTCGTATACCAGTGGACGAGTCCGCGGTCCGTGCTGCTAAAGGCACAAGAGTCTTGAAGAACGTGAAAGATGCGTAGACAGGTCGTGGGGGGTTTAAGGCAGTGGGCTAGTGCAGGAGCGATGATTGAATTAACTTTCGAGCTCCGCAATGAAGGAGAGGTATAAGTATACCAACCCCCTCCCTCACTCTCCAAAGCGTCGGCCCCGTCTGTCTCGCGATCGTTCCGCTCCTTGTCCTCACCAACACATTTCAATACCGGATGTTCTGCTAGCAAGTCCATGCTTCAAATTCTCTGCTGCCAATTCTCTGCTGCCAATTCTCTGCTGCCAATTCTCTGCTGCCCGACCCGATGTTGTCGCCGCAATGGCTGCCAATTATCGCAACATCATAGAAATAGGAGACTTCCAAGTGAGTACCCAAAGCGAATCCCAAGGAATCAAAGTAGCTGAAACCCAGAGCAAGGAAAGTGAAGTCGAGCATGTTGTCCTTTGCCCAGACGATGATCTGCGGAGCAGCGGCAGATCGAGGCGAGCATACGAGGCCCGGAGGCGATCCGCAGTCGAGCTTCTGGCAGTCACAAGCACAGCGGGGGGGGGGGCGAGAACAAGCGGAGAAGAGCGGGGCACAAAGAGACGCATGAGGGAACGCACCGGTTGTAATTAGTATTCAAAATCGTCCTGACAAACAAATTTTCCGGAAGGCTATTGGGCACGATATGCATACGTCGAGCAATGGGAAGTTTCTTGGAGGTGCGTAGTAGGAACCGAGCAGCTTCTCGGTACCTTGCAACTTTGTGTATCATGTTAAGGACGCCTTTTCTAGCGTTCTTTTTCATCTTGTCGTTTTCGATGGTGTCGAGCACGGCCTGGCAGTTTACCTGTCGCGGGCGAGAAAGTCAATCAACTAAGTCCTCAAGGTGCTGAATTCTCGGGTGGCTCGTCCAGGAATCAATGAGCCTGATAATATCCTTCGCCCTGTCAATAAATAAAGCCGTCTCCTCAAAAGACACGGTAGCAAGCTTGCACAGCTTCATGTTGCCGCGTCTTCCGAGAGCATGGATAACGTTCTGGAAAGCCGCCTTGGCTGGCTGTTTTGGCGTCCCCCTTGCGCGTTGTAAAGCGCAGACGGCTGAGGATTCTCTTTGAGCACATGTACACGATCAAGCGGCGGCGGACTCCATCTTCAAGGTTTAATTGCCTCGGCAGGAGGCTTTACTGTACGATTTGCTACCTGGGGTCCTCGCCCGGCTCACTCAGACCTGCGATAATATACAGACGAAGTTGACATCGCTGGGATTACCTCATTGGTTGCTACTCGCTCTCAATTTGCGGTTTACAGTCTGTCGACCAATTCATGTCTCCCTCCAATACTGAGCGCAGGATGCTAAGGCGAAGCAACTACATCGTTCCTCTTAAAATCAGATGCCTCACCACTCTCGACCATGACATCACTGCTCTCCAAGATCGATGGTTGTTCACCTTCTTCAACAATCAAGTGGTCCACCATGGATGGATAGTAAGGGTGAAGATTTGTGGTAATCATGTAATTTGTTCTGCCTGGTACCAGGGGTCCTGAATCCCAAATCGAGCACTGGGCCGCCCAATTTTGTAGCAATCTGCGCTGACAGCTGAGCAAAGCCAGCCTGGCGGTAGGTTCAGGGGAGCGCGCTCGCCATCAGCTGCACTTCGACCACGTCCATCCGTCGAGCCATAACAGGGCCTCGAAACCGCCATGGTTGCCCGTTGATGATCTCGTTCCCCCTTGACCAAACTAGCCGGAGCTTTGAAAGTCAATCACAGCGGCTTCTGTGTTAGACGATGACGAAGCTTGGCTCAGGCGTACGGCCCGATCTTGCCTCTGGAGGCTAGCTGATGTGCCCGCGCCAACGCACTCAAACACCCTCGACCAAGATTTCGAGGGCTGTGGCTTCCAAACCAACCTGGTGACTTCACATCACAGCATTTGCCTCTTGTCTGACGATTTAATGACAATGGTACCGTTACATTCCAAATTAATTGGTAAAGACGCATTCAAGCGATCCACTCGTTCTTGACTGGAGATAAAGGACACCCTAAGAAGATTCCCAATGGAATGATGACCCATTAAGGCAAAGCTTTTCATTCACCGGTCGAACTACCTGATAGGAGTTGAATCCTTTTGTCTACGCCGCTGTTGAGAGCTCGGCCATCCTGGCCGCAGACCAATCATCTAAAATCAACCCGCCTTCAGAGTTTTGCACATTGCAGTGCTTTTGTAAAGCGCACAAGACAACTAGCAGTATACTCGAGTCAGCTCTTTGCAGCACAGTTCTCTCGGACAGAAAATACTTACATCCGAAAGACTAATGCGATGCCGGTTCTTGTTCCTCGGCATCCGTGGGAACGGAAAGAAAGATACGGTGTGCCAGGTGTCTTGCCCTCGGACCTGGCGCGAACGCGGGGTCCCCCAAGGTGCTTTTCCCGTGTAGTTCTTCGAGATTCGCAGGATAGAGGTCCATCCCCTTCTTGAGGTCTATTTCGTCAGAGTGCGACTTGTCTGGTTATTGGCGTTAGCCCCTCATTGTTCCATCGTTGCGCTGGTCAAGAGGCCTCACCGTCAAGAAGTAGAAGCTGACGTGTCTCAATGCCCCCGGCAGTCGAAGCCACCTCAGCATCGTGGATGGACCCAATAGGCTTGGACATTGCCGAGCCCTGGAACAGAAGAATAGCTCTGATGATGGCGGCGACGAGCATTTTGAGGCAGAAACGAGGACTCAACATGGACAGCACAGGAGAGGGCATTCATGCCAGTTTAGACGATCACTTGTTTTATAGCGTTCCGACACCCGGGACAAGGGATATCATATTTGACTTGGGAGCAGGGCTCGTCTGAAAGTCCAGCTACCACGAATGTCCAGACATGGTAAAGAGAAGATCGGAGGCTGAAGAAGCCCATCAGTGCAAATGTGATTGGACCAGCACCCAAAGGAAGTCCTGGGTCTCGACCGTGCACTAAATCACTTGTTATACAGTATCATACAAATCCCGTGATTGTCCATCCTTCCTGATCAAGTCTCGTGTCTGGATACCTTGTAGCCAATTACCACCGATTTCCTCCACTGGCTTTTGCCCTCTGCCTAGATAGAAACGATCTAACCCCACTCGGGCTTGGGGGTAAGTTATGATATGGTTGGCCAGAGCAAGGCTGTAATTCAATTGAATGGTCCTGCCTGAGAAACGCCTCTGCCTTTTCGAGATTAATTAAAGGCAACCGTCGCAAGTACTTCGTGGGTGACATTTAGTGACTGCATTCTGTTGCCCATAATTCCGTCCAATCGCGGATTGAACTGGATTGAGCAATCGCTATGACAAGGGGGTGCTATCCGACGATGAGCGTGGAGACTAACAGCCTTAATTCGTCGACGGCTCAAAAGGAGGTCAATCAGCGGCGTGATCTCGCGTGATTGGCCAGCGCGCCGCTTACAGAAGCCAAGAGTCCAAACGAGCCCCCTGCTCTGTTGGCCGGGCCCAGGACCTAAGCCTAGGATGTCTTTTCCCCAGCAAGAGCCGGTCCAAGACGATCACGGCAGGCACGTCCACCAAAAGCCCGTGCACTTCTGTGCTCAGAGGCGAGACAGCAGGCAATCTGGAAGGCGGTGTGGGGAAGATGACCGCTTCTTCAGACTTGCAACTCCGGTTCAATGCTTGTGTCGTCCCACTTCCAGGGCCAACGGAGCATCAACCCTCGTCACATCTGTTGCTTCGATGAATGCAGCGATCTAAATTCCTGTATGATGCCGGTATGCCTGTGTCGGAAGGGCTCATACATAGCCGCGACCCGCGAGCTCGCAGTTCAGGCTTACACACAGCAGCTTTTGCACCTCATGTCGTCCCCGGATCGATCATGTGGCTACCTCCCCGAGCAGAACTGCCTGCTAACTTTGAAATGATGAATGTTGCTACGATCACCCAGTCGTGGTTTTGTCTATCCGACCTCTCAATGGGAAAGTGGTTTTCATGCTGGTGAGCGAATCGTGACTCGTGTTTATCTGGTATCTAACCACCTTGGACTTCTAGTTGACCTCATTGCGCGGAATGGATCTGGCTGAGCGCCATCCACACAAGCCCAGCGTCCGATGTGCTCATCTTCCCATCGATCCTAGCAAGCCGCACCCGGACAATCACATTCTACTCAAACTAGATGATAACAGCCCGATGCTTCGAAAAAAATCCTATGTCAAGACAGAGAAACAGTACACCATCGGCCACAAATTGTTGACGAAGTACGATCGGCGAAGTCCACATAATTACTTCCTATCGAAGGCCTCTTATAAGACTCTTGTTGAATACGTACAATTCTCCGAGTCGACACCACTTCCTCAAAATTTATTGCTTTGCGATTTTACCAATACCAGCAACGGACAGGTACACTCCAGCGTTCACCGCAGCGCTAGCATTGGAAGTTCCCGAGTGATGTCTGCCGTGGATGCGTCACCACTAACGCCCTTACTGAGGGAACATAGTCCTTCTCAGCGACTCCCTGGGAATCCTCAACCTTGGGCTGGTATACCAGTGCCATACGGGAAATACCCGTCCGGTCTTCAAATTCCGCGTGACGCTCGATTCTCGTCATACGGTAGCATTTCTGGCAGGATGGCGCCCGTCCCTCGTATTAACTATCACGGCTATCATTGTCAATGTCGTCAGTGCGGGCTTCGCAACGTATCGAGCACCGAAAATTACGGTGACGGCAAAATCTGTGGGCTCAATGGGAGTCAATGGGCGAAGCTCATCCTTTGGTTGTGCGCATTAGGTGTATTCTTCTATGGAGCTTATAGAGTATACTGTGGCTTGGTCATAGCTTTCGGTTGGTTACGAGGCTGTTGGAACTGGTGACGCTTGCATCTTTTTTCTGTGGTCATCGGACTGATTATCTAGTCCTATCGTGCAAACATTGTCGGCTGAGAAAGCGATCTGTGTTGCTGTAACACGTGCAGACTTTCAATAGACAGGTAGGCCAGAATCGAAGGGTCCCAACAGAATACACAGACATCCAGTGACAGAGTAGAGCATAGTGCCATATCGGTCGTCAGACAGTGAGGGTACCCTATCAGACCCATTCATTTCCACCTCTGAATAGGAGTAGCGATGAGGACAGCAGCCCCTAGGACTTAAGACATTCAGCTTACAGTAGCTACACTGTATAAGCCACATGTGGCGCACGGCTTAGTGCTTACTCTTTTTGTTTTTCAACAAACAAACACAAGCACATCCAGGCGGCACGCCAACGACGGTCTGTATTCCCAACCATTTCCTTCTTATCGGCGGAGCTAATATTCTTTTACGCATAGGTCCTTGTTCCCACCGAGCTCAACTTCCCGAGCAGCAATACTACCCACGATATCTAGCTATGGGAGGATACGCTGCTGCGCGTGTCCGCAGTTGTGAGGCTGAGTTTGGGGGGCCGGGTGTAGTGGGCACCTCCCCTTACTATGAACGTCACCAGCCATATCAAGGTCTTTTATAATACTGACTCAGAACAGAACCAGTTTCCAGAATCGATAATCGTACAGGAGCCGAAGGCTGGAGGGTTGGGGGAAGGGAGGTTGAAGCAAGGGCTCTGATTGGCTGCAGCTGCTGTAAGAATGTCACGTGATTGTATATGGATGTACCCGCCGATTTTACAAAGACATCGCTTAAAATTACGAAGTACACTACGTGATGGGGTGGACCTAACGCGACGCGGGTGTGGACTGGGCGGAATCAGGGGGTGGGCGGAAGGTGGGCCCCCTGACGTACCCGTCGCATTTCAGCCTGACTCTCGTGTCGAAGCGGGGTTGCTTTTTTTGAGTGCGGGGTATCGCGGTTGTAACGACAAACTTCCCAGACAACGCGATCGCGACAGGCACGTCGCGTCCTAGACTCGCACATAACAACATTGTCGCGGATACATTAATACCAATCCAATCGTTGCGCCTCAATCCAACCGCTTAGAGTCGCTTTGATGGGAACTGTAAGGTCGACTTTGACTCCACTGGTTCTATCTCTTTCTGATATTTTCCTGTAACTAACAACTATAAGGACCTGTCACGATCAATAACCCCGAGGCATTTGCCACCGTGAATGCCGTCACAGATAAATTCAGCAAGAATCTGCCCTCGAGTCAGCTCGCCGACTTAAAGTTGATGGAGCAGGCCATCAGAAAGCAGGTACGGGATTCAGAGAATGGCGATATGGTGACAGAGCTCGAGCTCCAATCACTCCTTCCAAAGCTTGCTAGCATGGGGGAAAACCACATTTTCAAGCTCCCCGATGAGGTCCTGATCAAGGTCTTCGAAGATGTGAGAGGCGACCTACACGTGTTGCAAGATGGAAATCCCATTGGTATCAATGATATCAAGAACCTTCGTCTGACATGCAGGCGATTCTGCGATGCCAGTTCTCATCTGCTCCTACACCGGCAAGATGTTTCATTAACAACTCCATCGCTCGAACATTTCGACGAGGTCTCCCGTCACCCCACCATTTCCAAGGGCATACGAGCTATTAGGCTTACCCTGTACCATCCTGTCACCACCAAAAGCCTGCGCGACTTTCTTTATGAATTTGTGGGGATTCTGGATCACCAGGATGAAATGGATTGCTCGTCTATAAAGAATTCTTTGGACTGGATCAAGCGACACAAGTCTGCCGGTTTCGGCGGTATCCTCCGGGCGGATTTGTCCCAGCTTTACAACAACTTAAACAAGCGGAGTAAAGTTGTGCTGTCATGCACAAAGTTCTTACGAGACGAGGAATTACAAGCGGATGAGGTTCGAATTATGGAAACCTTGTGCCAGCTTTACAGCCAGCTCACTAACGAGCAAGAGGCGCTTCTGAAAGACGGCAACTTTGCCACACGTGTCGCTGAAGCAAGGGCTAGAATGCCCAACGCAACTGAGTTGCTCATCACTGAATGCATTGCGTTCGATCAAGTCAACGGCTTCTTCCGGAAGAGAGGATTGCCTCAATGCTGGGCGACTGATAGCGTCCCTCTACCAAAGCAAGCTCTCGAGCTTCTTTACGAATTGCCACTCGCCATTGCCCGATCAGGCAATTCGCTGGCCCAATTGCGCATCCGCCTAGACCCCCACATAGAGCACAAGCTGAGACTCAGCAAGCAGGAGACCAGGGACCTACTCAACGCAGCTGGAGACCTGAGATTGCTGGAGATCGACTGCCAGATGGGCATGAAGGGTTTCAGGACGAAGAAGGAGCCATCGAAAAAGGTCAGCCTGTCCAGGCTTGCCTGTTTATTTGCGAAAGCCAGGCGCCTAAGTTCGCTAACGCTCCGGTTCAATTCTTGGGCAAGAGATGAGGATGAGAAACATTGCAGTGCTGCACCTTTACTTGCGACGCTTCCCTGGGCCAATCTGAAGGAGGTATCGCTGATCAGTTGTTTCATACATTATCATCAGCTCGTCCAGCACATTGAGAGGTTATCACCTGGAACCTACATATTTCTCAATGAGGTCTGCTTGCTAAGCGGGGTTTGGGCTGATCTTCTTGACGCGCTCTGCGGCAAGGCTGACTGCAACTCAGTTGTGGTATGCATGAGTGGTAAAGAGGATAAAAGACAAGGTCGCACGTTTGACAACATGCATGAACACGAAAATCCTGCTTCCACATATATCAGAGGCCAAACATCACACAATCCTCTACGGTCAGCTTCGTCCCAGACAGCATAGGTTCAAGGTAAAAGCTCCAAGGAAGACAGGTACAGAACATGGACGGAGAGGAACGATGGTGTGTTTTTCTGCTCCATGTATACGATATCATATCATGTCTTTTTTTGGGATGGGTGAAGTCGCCGATCTGGCGTGAATTAGGTGCTTTGTACTATACTCGACTCTGTTGACCGATTTTGTTTTTCCATAACAAGGTATGAAAAAGTGGGGGTCTGAAATCCTTCTCTATATTGGAATGCTGCTAGTGCAGATCTAATATATAGAATCTGAGTTCTTGATTCGCAGTGAAAACTTGGCCAAATGGACCATTGGTAATAAGAAAGTTTGCTTTTGTTTAATACATTGATACAGTGCTATTACGCCACAGGCTTCCTGCCTCACTGGAACATATGCTCACTTTTATTTACCTCGCCTATTCGATGATAGCTTTGCTGTACGAGACAGTTCCTGTTAAATGGATCAGGTATAAGGACGGCAGCATTAAGGCAAATTTTTTGTAAGACGGACTTAGGATGCTTAGTAGTAGTTAGAGAATATGACCTATGCTAAAATTTAGGAGACATTGATACGTGTAGAGTTTTTGACATGTCTAAAGTCAAGGTACCTGTCATTTTTTCCGGCACGGAGGGTTTTCCGCCACGCAGGGATGGACGTTATCCAGCTCTCAGTAGTCAGGACCTAATATACCCGCGGACAGATCAACGGAGTCAGAAGGCAGCTGGCAGCAAATAAGAGAGCGAGAAGCCCGCACTTGTCACCGATGATTGCATTCGCATCCTGTATCCCATCTTCACCTTTGACCGGGATGCTGAGCGCACTTCTCAATGAGACTTTTATATTCATCAGACTAATTCATTGATTTCAGTATAGACATGACGGCAGTTTGGCAGGATTGGCGACCTTGGGTTTGCACGGAGCTCTTGGTCGCCCGTCATATCTGGACGGCTTGAATCGCTGGTGGCACAATCGACGCACATATCCCCGGGCAGAAACAGACTCCATCAATCCTCGTCCACTAATCATCCTAATCTCGTGACCCGAGATCTGTAGTAGCCCGATACGCTTATCATCAAAGTAAGCGACACAACAACAATCCCCAGAGTGACCCAAGCTGTTGGTGACCAAGTCCCGTCACGAGCGCTATAAATATTCAGCAGGACAGTAATCAAGCCACTGGTGCAGTTCAGAATACCAGGACTGTAAGGTACCGTATCAGAAGAAGCGTTACTTGATCGGTTAGGTGTGACTCACAGGAAGAGGTGGGATAGAAGCCATACATAATTCGACCTGAACCTTGACCAGAGCATACATAGCCCAGCGGCTCCCGCGAGGTAGAAAACCCCGGCGATGACCACTAAGGGAACATTATCAACTGTCTGAATGACGTGAGAATGCTCAAGAACGTGTGATCGTTTCAGCGAGGTAAACGTGCCAGGGAAAGTGAAGAAACCAGCCAGGATGGTCCATAGTGCCACGGCCGCTGCAATATTACACCAGATAGGAGCTTCGTTCGCCTCGATAACCATCTGGTGGTATGTCTGCGTCATCGCGAAAAGTAACAAAGAATACTTTACAAGAAAAAGGTGACAGAGAACAAATCACTTGGAATTGACGCCGAATGTGAGATTCGACTGCCCGAATCGGCCAGCGCAGCTTGATTTTTCTTAGTCAATGACTTCAAGTCAGGAACCGTGTTTCTTATCAGGCACGAAAGTGTTTCTTCGATACTGTATAAATAGTGGCCTATTTTAGACGGACTTTATTTGGACCACTCGGCGCTCTTACTCGATCTTTTTGTGTGATGGGCCGCATTTTGTACTTCATCGCGCCATCAATGCTAAGGTAGCATGGTGACGTCGAAGCACAATACTTCCTCATTCCCGGTCCTGTGTGATCACCCAGAGGTACAAACACGTGCCCGCAATATTCTGGTAGTTTGAGATCTGCGCTGCCGAGCCATCTCAGGACCAGCGACTAACGTCTCATCGCTTGTAATCATCGCTCGTAATGGAAGCTGGATTTCGTGGATGGGCCATATTTGCCAGCTATATCAGATGTCTCAATAGATTCGCTATCATTAGTAGCCAAAGCATGCCAATGCTTGGCTGGTATGGGAATCCTCTTCCAGTCACGACGGGGCTGAATGGTGTCTTTGTAGGATTGAACAATGCTCCTGTGGGCCTCGAGGTCTTTAGAGAAACCGTAGTATTTGGAAAAGGGAAGCTCGCCACTCCGCTGGTGAAGTGGGTAACCGGAGAGCTTTTGTATCGCTCCTGACACCCCCGGATACAGAATACTGCTAGATGTGACGGCCGAAGCATGAGCCGTTGGACATCATAACATATTTCATGCACATCAGTCCAGAGTTCGAAAACAGTCTCTAATTTTTTCGATAAAGATTATTCTAGCATCCTCACGTCGAATTCTTCAATTCGCGTTGTGGATCTTCGTTCTGCTTCGTAAAATATTCTGGATGAATGTGTTCCCACGCCACCTGTTTCATCTCCTTCTCGAGGGCTGTGGCTGAAAAATTGACACCTGGATCTGTGCGCCAGGCACCGAAAATCTGGCCCTGCGATCTCAAAATCTTGCCTGAACACCCAGCAGACAAGGCCGCAACATATACGGCCATCGCCTCAGCAGCCACGATCGTCGACACTGTCAGCCCGCCCAATGTTATCCTGCATTCCAAGGGATGTGCCCCAGACTTGCTGCGATTGACCAGACGGAGTGGTTACAAGGTCTTTTGCGAACTAGACCCTCGGGGTCGGGCACGGCTGGTCGGGGCCGACAACCAGAGGAGATGCTGTCCTCGCGCTAGGTGTTGACAAATTACAAGCTCGTATGCTAGCATCTTATAAAATACGGCGGCCAAAAGGGCGGCTTATGCTATCTTCTGGGGTTGTTCCACGGATACCCTGCCTGGTGGAAGAAGCAGGCGGTTGAGCAGCAACGTCCTCTGGCTATCGACGACCGCCCTGTGAGCGTCGGTCCCGGCCGTGGTGGCTTCCCTACGTCCGTTTCGGCTGGTGTTCTCGGCGGCAGCCTCAGCAGCGCCGTTGTTCCTTCCAAATGGCGTTCTGATGCTGGTCACGTAGGCGATGGCGGTGTCCAGGACACTACCTCTCCCACTGCCCCAGCCGCTGGCACCAGCGGCAGCAGCGGTCTTAGTCGCAGTGGCAGCATCGGCTCCGGCGGCAGCAGTCGTGGCAATGCGCGCCAACCTCGCACGTTCGGTGAGTAATCGAAGTCACTTCTCAGAGCATACTTGCCAGACAGTCCCCACAGCTCGCCTCCATTTTCCCGCAAAGTAAATAATTCCACCGTTTGGACATACTGCTCACTCGTGCAACACAGCCTCTTTCCAGCGAGCCACCTACGGCCCCATCGCGCCCCCTTCTCGTGCTGGCACCGGCGGCGGCAGCGGAGCCAGCGCTGGCTTCTCGACGACTTGTCGCCGTGCACGACCCATCCTGCTGCGTTTATGATGAGCGAATGACGAAGCGCAACTCAGCTGGCTCAATTGTTAGCCCTGCTAGGGCACAGCCGTCAGAGGTCGAATTGGTGGCGGACCAGGATATGCGGCAGCCGAGAGGGCCGCTGCTTGAGGCACGACATTGTGACTCTAAGCGCAAGAAATTCGAAGATTTCAGTGCGGTTGTAAAAATCTTTAGAGAATGTGAAGCAACGAAGGAGACGCGTGGCATAAAAGCGAATCACATTCCGAGTCTGGCTCTCATTGGTCATGAATCAGATTGAGTAGATTCCCAGGTCCACATAAAATTTCAAAATGCCAACAGTTGAAAAATTCAGCATCTGTAGATTAACTTTGATCAATGCAATTCAAAATGATTGAACGTTGAATCGGGATTGAGATTGGAACATCTTAGGCTGAGAAGTTTTAGCCCAGCATTGGGACCTGATAGGTCCCGAATGTACTATTTCAAAAACAGAGCAGATTCCAAGGTCCTTATGAAAAGTTAAAGTACTGGTCTTTTGCAGTCTCAGGGCATCCTTGAGTACCCTAAAAGCGGCCTGTGCTCCTGTCGTAGACGTCCAGCTTACCCAGAAGACCTGTTTTGCGGCCTGGTATCCGCACCGGCCTGCATCGCTCTTTGAAAATGTGGCTAGCATCTCAGAAAAACTCTGGGTAATCTCATCTTCGGCTTCCCCAAGGAATATTCAGATCTTAGCCAAGGATAAAACCACCCTCAACACGTTCTCAATCTACCAAAACATATGATTCACAGGCTTGTCTCGTAAATCATATATTTCCAATCACAACTTCTAGACGATTCGACGATTCCGTCGCGCACTTTTATCGGGCGTAGAATATACATCCCCGACAATGTTTGAGACTTCCAACAAGACTCTGGACCCAAATGCTTTACTCTCTAGCCATTGTCATTCCGGATGTAGATTACACATTTTGACTCAAATACGGCACAGTGATGATTCGATTGAGCGCGTCTTGCTTTGCGGCTCAAGATTAGACGGGATCAGTAGCTTCGAAGTCGACATTCTCAATCCATAAATCACTAGAAGTTGATGAGAATGGCTTGCATGACGAAAATATGGCATTGTTCATGGAGTGGCTTCTGGCTGCCAGGCATTTCGGCTCATCGCGGTCCACTCCATGAACCTGTTCGAATAAGGACTTGTTCCTCTCGTCGACCTACTTTATAGTCAGGTCTTCGGGATTCGTATGGTGCTGGCGCAGGCGCCGATGAAACGTTGCGCTTTTATCCCACAAGCTGCGGTGCAGCAGTCGATGCAGCAGCAGTCGAGATCGGGATGTTCCAGTGCCGGCTCTTTGCGGGGGAGCATCGTGAACCCGTGCATAAGTCGCATTTTAATAGATGCTAATGACCGCGATGAACGGCCGTAGGTCCCTGCGTGGAACATGAACTATCACGCACGGCATTCCTTGCAGGACAGTTCCCACGGTATAGCGGAGATCTCGGACTCTATTTGCTCCGGAAGAAAACCAAGCGCTCAGGCACTGGGATTGATTTGTCCTCACAATGATCCCATCGTCTCGGGTTCTAAGTATGCTTTGATTACCCCGCCCCCACATTGTACACGTCAACTGACCGTCATTGCCACGGAGCAGGACATGTACCGTCAGGGTGTAGACAGGGCGAGGAGGAGAATTGCAAGAATACATTGAAATGCTGTACGGCAAGTTCCCTGGCACTTCGCCTTCTGAGCATGGAGCTATGGTAGAATTTTGCAAAAATAGGAATCTCAGTCATTTCATATGCTCCAAAAGTACATTGCGGACCAACGGCTCTGAGAAGTAAAAGAGGGAAGGAGTGGTCTGACAGACGGCTGAAAAAGTATAAGTAAACAGCTTTTGCTTGGCCAGGTCACAGTGACAGACGATCCTAGCCCAAGAGTGCCTGTGCCGCAGTAATTTTGATCCACGGAATGGTCCAGGTGCTGCGTCGCATCGTCATTCGAGGCCGGACGCCTCTGGCTTTGAAGGTCGAACGTATTGTTTGGTCGCAGAGAGGAGAAACGGGAACCGATCCGGCTTGTCGCGGCCGGCTTGTCGCGGCCGGCCAATAGAGACGTGCGATATTAAGTTACACGGCATTGGACCTGCAGGTCATACGGCATGTCGTGTCGGGTGGTCTGGTGAATGTTGATGACGATTATCATCAGTGTCTGCACAATCTTGTCATTGCCCTCGAATGATGCAACGTGAAGAGCATTGCCGTATTTGTCGCCTAGTGCATTGACATCTGCGCCCTCGTCAAGGAGCACCTGAACAACGCTTTCTAAGCATCCCAAAAGCAAAGGGATGCGATTCACACTGTCTTTGACATGAATTAGATGAACGATTACACAAATCATTTGGGCCATGCTCGTTCAAACCTAATTGGGCGTGAGGGGCAGCAGATGCGGGGGGTGGGGGCTAGGGATACAGCATGCCGCCCGAAGTCTTAAATGTGACCGACGTGCTCTGCTCGCACCCACTCATTCCTCGTGAATTACGATCTGGCAGCAGCTATCTATCTCCCAAGTCTGGAAACTAGTTTGCAAGAGGACGCGAAGCCATGCAACGCAAGAATGTTGTCGACGACAGCATGGTGTATGTGGCCTTCAACAGCATATTTCAAGGTCAAGATTCCCAGATACGCAAGCTATCACCCATTAAGAAGCTCGTCCATAAGCACCAGAAACAACCCCAAGTCGCGCAGCTGCTACAAGAGTACGGTGCGCCTGCCATCTACGAGAAACTGCAGAGACTTCTCAGTGGTCAGGTTTTCGAGAGCACCTTGAAGGCAAAATGCGAGTTTCCAGAGCTGTTCGAGGTCTCGCGAGCCCAAAGCGCGGAAAGGGCGATCTCCGAGGCAGAGGCAGCCGCGGGCCACGCCAAAGCAGTCGAGGAGGCCTTAGATTCAACTGACCGCTATGGTCTGCCATATGAAAGCAACTCTAATAATGGTGAGCATGTATGTCAATCTTGTCGAAAACCCAGTTGGTGCTGAGACAGTGTCCAGGAAGAACGGGTACAGATCCACAAGCTCAGGCATCAACCGGATCACCAGCGGAACGGCAATCTGCTCGCCAAAGAATTCACGTCCCGTCCTTGTTTCCCCTTGAATTTGACTTCACTACCTCATACAAGATTCTTGTCAGGACCCAAGAGGTCCTAGAACTTGCTTGCTTTCGTTTCGCAGAGAAAGCCATGCCCGAGATCCTTGAAAAGCGAAAGTGGCATTGCCCTGAATCCGCCGAACTAAACCTATGGGCTACCGAGTTCTTAAAGCGGCTGGTGAGATTTGAGAAGAGACCTTCTACGGCGGTCTCGCCACCGAGGCGGCTCGAGGAGCTGTTCCCGTCCATCGCACAAATCAGGCATCATACCGTTCATCGGATCCCGGTCACGGCCAAGGAGCTTGAGCAATTCATGGCCGATGGCGAGACTCTTGTGCAGCTCTTCGAAGATTATGTCACCATCGCTGTGATGTCCAGAGCCAGGAGCGAAGTCCATATGGCCGCGACCGAGATGGAGAATAGGAAGACCATGCTCGAGGCGAGACTAACCAAGATCCTTCAGGACGTGGCGGACAAGCGAGCCGAGCTGGACCGCGCAGAGGCGGAAGCGATCGCGGATACGCAGCGAAAGGACAAGGAAAATCAGTCGTTTGCTAATGCTTATCTTCAAGAGGCTATCTGGGTAGATGATGGCGCCATTGGAAAGGGGCCTTTTGCAACCCGAAGTCCCACTGCGAATGGGATAGATAATGACTTCCTCTTGGATCAGCTCGATAATGCCATGGAATCTGAAATAGCGCCTAATGAAGAAGATGCTACGAAGGCATTGGCCCTGCCTTCGGCACTGGATGAAAGCTTTATCAGTAATTCCGATGGAGACAGTGTTGTGGAGGAAAAATAGGGAGCTCCGATTGACTCCCGATGGCTTACTGATGCTAATGGGGACGGATTAAAAACTGAAAAGCGGGTGGTCTCGTCCCGTGGCTCGGAAGCCATTCATGGGCCAGAAGCTTCTGAGCTCCGCTGGCCACATATGTTCAAGATTTTCGGGATCGTGAACGTTCAAAAATAGTCTTATTGGATCACGGATGAATACCATCGAACAGAGTTTCCTCCCGTCCAGTCCCAACAAGATGTGCCTCTGATGGCATCAGATCATGCACCGGAAGTCTGCGGGCGTAGTGACACAAGGGTCAGGGCAAGAGGCTTGGAAGGCGAGTCGACTTTGAGTCATCGAGTCCAGCGACAATCCGAATCATTCCGCCAAAGCGGACGAGCAGGTACAGTATCGTAAGTGGATGTAAAGTTGACGATTTTCTCGGTGGCCGACTCCCATCCCCTCCTCACCGCAGTCAGTAAGGGTCAGGGTTGGGTGGCATCCGTAAGTGCTGTCGATCCGGGCCCCGGTGAAGTGAGGGGTTTTGCGTGGGGGGGGGGGGGGCAGTGATGTGAACGGAATTTAATGAGATCTAATCATGTTGGCATACGTACACACACCCCCCCCCTCCGTGCTGGTACAAATATTACAGAGCGGAATCCGTACCGAAGTACCCTGAATTCCAAGCTCCTGATTCGTCAGACCTTCACTTGCGGGTTTACCACAGCCAAAGTCGGTCCTGGTGATGGATAATGCAAGCTTTCACAGAGAATGGAAAATCAGAGAAATGTGTTCCGCTGCGGGGGCGCAGCTCATCTTTCTCGCACCATACTCGCCAGACCTCAACCCGATAGAGGTGGCGAACTCAAGGGGTTGGTTAGGTTAGACGGAAAATCAGTTACGCGAAATCAGAGGTTAAAGCAAAAGAGCGGGCCCGACTGGCCAACAGTGCAATCTATTGTAATATAATGTATACCAGTGACGATTATTCAGACACGCCGAAGCCATTCCCAAAATACTGTAGCACCCTTGTAACGTCAACCAGACTTAGAGCCGCACACGCCACCCTAACAGGGCAGGAATGATGGCATTGGCAGCGCCTCTCTCCAACTGCCCCTGAGCCACTCGAAGTCGAAGAGAAGAGAAGCTTCAATAGTTAAAATAAACTTTTGAATCGACTTCATTACCGGATCTAAGCGTCATACGACAGAATTTACTGTACCTGAGGATCCGGGACTAAATGATCAGAGGACACAGAAACAAACATCTCTTTGATCCACCCATAGACATTTGGAACTGTGGATTCTCAGAAGTTATGACTGCACTATCCAATGATGGCTCAGAGGTAATATTAGCTTGATTGGAGGGTCTGGCAATTTGGCCCCACCTCACGTGTGCATCTCTGCATCTTGCGCGCAGGTCTCACTACTGTCGCCTTGATGCAACCCCTATGTTTCGCATGAAATGCCGTGACAATTTCGGACGTAATCGTGCGTAAACTGATGGGCAGCGCAAAAAACAGACTGATTCAAGGCTATGTGATTTGTGGAGCTGATGCTGCTAGAACCAGTGGTTTCAGGGCTCGTGACAGGCCTAGACTGCCCCTTTTTATCGCGCATTCGTCGCCTGCCACAGTAGCGATTGAGATGATCGCTTTGCAGCCCATCGTCTTCTTTATCCGCTAGAATCTTCCCAACTTTCAGACACCATTCTCTCTCCAGCGAACAAAATGTATCACTCAGTATTTCTAAAAGCAGAAGTCGCTAAAATAAGGAATCGCAATGCAAAAACAGCTAGCATAGCCGCTGCCCAGAGCTGTGCTATTCCTGAGACATCGGAGAGACCAGTGGAAAGGTAGGTGTAGATATGTACCATCCAAAAAAGCGCGGTGAGCCCAGCCAGATATGACAATGGGTGGTGGATCACATCGGTTACGAGTGGCTTAAGCACAGGAAACCACGTTAAAACAGCAACAATCATCCAGGCCGAGAAGAACATGGCGATCGGCAAGACCCCACTTGATTCTCGAGATCGGAAGATCAATGAGCCCAGGTAGAGGAAGCTTGCATGAAACTTAGGATTGTTAGTGTCCCAATCGATAGCCGAAGGGGAAGACCTTACCAGGATCCGGATTGGAAATGGGTATGCTCTCGACATCTTTGTAATGGTATTACGCAGTCAGACTTCGTTGATTGGGATGGTTGAACATTTCAAATCGACTCGACCTGTATGCAGACCATGCTTGACCTTTTATGTATTCGTTACAGAGAGATTGGCTGGCGATATTCGAGCGCGGACCGCTTTGGGACCCTGGTGAGACCGAGAATGGTCCTCTGCTCTCAGCTTGGCCGCACGTGGCCCAGTGAGGGACCAACACAAGACCCGTCCATAGCTTGCAAGATACTGGATTGCAGGTAAGTATGTGGACCGCCCGTCAAGATCTGTATCCTACGGCCTGCGACTGCTTTGGGTCCTGACTTTTAAGAGGTATAACAGATGGCGGTTGGGCGTTCCGAAGGTAGCATGTGCACCAAAGTGAAGCCCGCACATCCAATTTCGGTCCTTGCGGGGACGTCGCTGACTAGAAAAGAACACTAAGATTTGGAATGTGCACACAAGCGATTTGTCTTGGACCGCAACACGAGCGAGTGACGTCCACGTGCTGAAATCACGCCCATCAATATCCACCCCATGCTCTACGAGTCGCCGGAAGAACTTTCTCTGTGTTCTTCTCAGGCCTCTGAGATTAGGAATAAGGTTCGACCGGGGTTTTTTCTGATGCCTCAGCAGCGATGTGCGATGTAGAGGTATATATGACTCACTTTACAAGAGACTGTACCTATTTGCGCCTACACGCTGTGCTTGACTGTACTTCGTTCCTGTCATCAAAACACGGCGAAGCTGAAGTGGCCTGAAGAAGACCTGCCCGGCCTTGTTTTCAGCCTCATACTTTTTTCTATCGATTACTGCCCTACTCTTTCTGACTAGTACGTCCATCACCTTGTTCGAGGCCTGAAGGCCGTACCTTATCTAGCGTACGAGAGGCTTCGATTGAATGTGCAGTTGAATTGCGCTGGATTTGAGCAAAAGAAGCCTCCTGGTGAGGCCACTCATACCTGAACGGAGGAACCAACAATCAGGTCCAAATGCTCCTTCAGACCCCTGTGTGTCATCCCATCTTGGAGATGAAGGAAGTCCTCTAAAAAGCGTCTAAAGATATGGTAATATTTTGGCTTCTATAGAAATACATTGCAATGGATTCAAAAAGACGGCCAAATCGTAACGAGCCCAATTCCAGCCCGTATGGCAATTTCTTCTTCTCGTTGTGGGGATACCGGAGAAGAACGTCATAGACAGGTCTTGGTTAGTTCCATATTTAGTCTTAACCGTCTGAAAGGGCCCAAAAGAGGTTGACTATAGTAGATGGCTGAAAAAAGCGCGCCTTTACTTCTTCGGAGCATATTAAGTCTTCCAGATCTGGTTCTGAAAGTCCTCAATTTGGTACGCAAGTTGAGAATTAACATATAAAGGCGACAAAACACCGAAAGTAGAAGCACCATCAGCCAGACACTTACATAGCTCGGAACATATGAATGCACCACCGTCTTCGCCTCCCCAAACCTCACGCGATTCACAAACCGAAAATCAAGCAGCTCACCGCCGACCACTACATCGCCCAGTTCCGAGATGTCTGCGCAGTATGAAAAGACTGAGGTGAGATTCATCAGCGGGAATTAAGACAATCTTGTGCTGATCTAATTCTCTAGTACACCACAATTCAGGAAGAGCCTGGTATCTCTTGTCCCCTAGGAGAGGGAAAGCCTGCCCTCGTCGACTCAGTCGAAGGTTCTATTTTGACTATCCAGGATTGCCTCAGACAGATCTCGAATATGGCGCATCAGGCATTCTGCGCTACTGCCGATCATACGTGCGTGCCTGCCAGCTACGTACGGGCGTGGAAGGATGTCTATCATAAAGAGGCGCAGAAGCTTCGGGAGGAGATTGGAAAGAACAAAAAGCTTCAGGCTCTTTATGAGCAGGCCCTTGCAGAGACTGATCACCGCAAGCGAGACTCGGCATTCTTTTACTGCCGCATGCAAGAGCTGGAGGAGCAGGTGAGCGGATATGCAATCCGGATCGAAGAGCTGGAGGCGGGAGAGCAGCAGGAGAAGACGCCGCAAGATTGACAGCTTTCAGACATGACGGAATTGTTTGGTGACCAAAATCGCGAAGAGGGTGAGATCGTCGACATCAGCTCTCAGAACGGGTCGGTGCTTTCCAATAATAGCCCTCCAGGGTGTGATGTTGGGAATTGTGATACACGCAAGCGCAAGGCGTTGAACGGCGGAGACGAGGATGAGAACGAAGAAGAAATAGGAAGTGTGGAGAAATTGCCTCGCAAGAAGAGGCGCACCAACCCGAGCAGAACTGGCAATGAGTAACGCAATCAGCTTGACGTCTCTTCGCTCCTTGCGCCGGATGGTTCTCGTTGACAGTGGGTGATGTTGTTGACGTAATGGGCCCATGTGGGATATTCTTTGGTCCAACGTCGTGCTTCGACTTGATGAACCGAAGGCCTGCAGTATACAGAGAGCAGTTTCACATCAACACAAATCTGGGAGTCGTAAAACTCAACGTCGCAAGAACATGTTGCATTTCATCAGCTTTGTTCATCAGATTTGCCTCGATCTCTCCCTGCGCATATGCCTTGACTTCAATTTCTTTTTGTCCACTGTCACGTCTTACACTTGCATGAATATAATGCCGAATCCTTTCAACCAAGTTGTGTAGGGTGTTGTCCTCAACCCACAGAGTCTTGACCTCCGAAGGCTACAAATTACGTGTCATTAATGAGCAAGAGTGGTTGGAACTATCCAGTGGAGTGGGCACAGCGGGCAATAACGAACAATGATATGCTCTTTCCTCACTTTCACACGTTGAAATTCCTCTTCTCTCTGTTGCAAATGTGTGGCTCTTGTCCTCACGATTGGCTGGGCAATTTGAGAAAACAGGTCTGCTGGCTGATCAAATTTCATGTTTGTGCGAATGCTTCATAACTTAATCTGCATGAGCCATGAGTGTACAAGGAACTTGGAAAATAGGCGTTATTTCGACATTCTTTTCTCGTTAACAAATAATTCCAGACTGACCCGCTATGACGCAGACCTTTTAATCCTGTGAAGTCCGTAGCAAACTACAGTAAAGCATCCTTACAAACCACGCCAGACAGGATCGTCTTTCCACCTCTGCACATATTTTGTTATCGTGCCCCCGGGAACTTTGCTAATTGTCTTCGGGGATGTCTCCTGAGCTTTGCGGGTGTCCAGCACTAACTTGGCACGTATTTCTCGCATTCAACGAAAAGATTCTCGTATTAACTTTTATTTTCTTTTTCCTGCACCTAAACATGTCTGTCCTGCTCTCAATGGTCAGGACCTAATATACCCGCGGACAGATCAACGGAGTCAGAAGGCAGCTGGCAGCAAACAAGAGAGCGAGAAGCCCGCACTTGTCACCGATGATTGCATTCGCATCCTGTATCCCATCTTCACCTTTGACCAGGATGCTGAGCGCACTTCTCAATGAGACTTTTATATTCATCAGAATAATTCATTGATTTCCGTATAGACATACGGCAATTTGGCAGGATTGGCGACCTTGGGTTTGCACGGAGCTATTGGTCGCCCGTCATATCTGGACGGCTTGAATCGCTGGTGGCACAATCGACGCACATATTCCCAGGCAGAAACAGCCCCTATCAATCCTCGTCCACTAATCATCCTAATCTCGTGACCCGAAATCTGTAGTAGCCCGATACGCTTATCATCAAAGTAAGCGACACAACAACAATCCCCAGAGTGACCCAAGCTGTTGGTGACCAAGTCCCGTCACGAGCGCTATAAACATTCAGCAGGACAGTAAGCAAGCCACTGGTGCAGTTCAGAATACCAGGACTGTAAGGTACCGCATCAGAAGAAGCGTCACTTGATCGGTTAGGTGTGACTCACAGGAAGAGGTGGGATAGAAGCCATACATAATTCGACCTGAACCTTGACCAGAGCATACATAGCCCAGCGGCTCCCGCGAGGTAGAAAACCCCGGCGATGACCGCTAAGGGAACATTATCAACTGTCTGAATGACGTGAGAATGCTCAAGAACGTGTGATCGTTTCAGCGAGGTAAACGTGCCAGGGAAAGTGAAGAAGCCAGCCAGGATGGTCCATAGTGCCACGGCCGCTGCAATATTACACCAGATTGGAGCTTCGTTCGCCTCGATAACCATCTGGTGGTATGTCTGCGTCATCGCGAAAAGTAACAAAGAATACTCTACAAGAAAAAGGTGACAGAGAACAAATCACTTAGAATTGACGCCGAATGTGAGATTCGACTGCCCGAATCGGCCAGCGCAGCTTGATTCTTCTTAGTCAATGACTTCAAGTCAGGAACCGTGTTTCTTATCAGGCACGAAAGTGTTTCTTCAATACCGTATAAATAGTGGCCTATTTTAGACGGACTTTATTTGGACCACTCGGCGCTCTTACTCGATCTTTTTGTGTGATGGGCCGCATTTTGTACTTCATCGCGCCATCAATGCTAAGGTAGCATGGTGACCCCTGCCCTGTTGGACCCATTCATGGGCGTTCCTAAGCTTCCTGTTTCTGGTCATTTTTGGAAACCTCAAGGAGCAATCGCTAACATAGCCAGAAATGGTCGCTGCACTATCCTACATTAGCCAACAGGCGCAGTGCGTTCTGTCTTTTTCTTGCTGCACCTCTACTAAAGATATGATCAACGCTGCAACCAAATGTTGCAAGTTGTAATACTAAATCGCCACTTCAGCTGCACTGTACAATACAGTAGCTGTAGAACAGATGAAAGCTTTTTTTCATAGTGGATGCATGCGGCAGTTCTGGAAATTCCATTTTTCAGAAAAATCCGAGAACACAAGTAGAGAAAGCTCAACAGCGTAAACATTAGGCAAGAGATATTTAGTTGATGAAAATTGAATACTCCAGACCCGACCTGGATGACACCCCATACAAACAGTTTCCCGAAATATAGCAGAGAAACGCGCCCGGCATACTTAACGCAACCAAAGTACATTCTAACCTTTCCACGTAATCCATAAATTCAATTCCAGCCTCTAAGGCACCATCTGTAAGAAAGACGTAATCAATCGATTCCCGAATCGGGTACTCAAGTCGAGAAGGCTCGCATGAGCTAACAAATCAGTCTACTTACAAGTAGCGCGGCCAATATACTTCGCCTTCAAAAAATGCGCATCAAAGACGTCTATCGCTCTCGCAGCGGAATTCCATCACGAGTCACATCTCCAAAATCAAGCAACTCACTGCTTTGAACCAGGTCTTTGAACTCTTAACATGTCTCTGCAATCTAAAACTGCTCGGGCGAAAGTTTATCAATCGACAGCAAGGATCCCTGGATTCCAGAACGGTCTGCTGCACTTCTGTATGCTTCAACATCGGGACAATGTCCTGTACTGATTTGCTCTGTTTCGCTCTTGACAAGAGCGGGGAGAAGTGACTGGGCAGTTTCGAGTCGCCCTGCGGTTTGGCGGGCTATGTTTAGATAGTGGGTACAAATTTGCATCGCTATTTTACAGTGACGCGAAGTGTCATGACTTCGCTTGCGGAGGATATTTAGAACCAGTCTTCTTGGATCAGCTTCGTCAGGGTGTAACACTAAACCCTTGCCCTGGTCCCCGATCGTGCATTGCACCTAGGGTCCATTCTAGGTCGTCGAGCTACCAAGAGAAGTCCACATTCCAGAGGCCTTTCGGGTCTGACGCAGTGAAGGCGGGTAAGTTGACAGGACCCAAAGTCACCATCTCAGCGTAGCAGAGGCATGTGATTCTCTTAGTGCCACGATGATTGATGATCTCTGAGTCGGGTTTTCTCTGCCTTCTTCGACGTGGCCGCGAAGGGATTGCTGCATGATTTGTAAAATTGACAGCGGGTAGTGAGGGTCAACGGAGACGAGGAGGTTCGTAAAGCGACCTGGATAGGGTTTACTCTTCTTGGCTTTCTTAATTGATGACGATTTTAGTAGAAAGCTATGGTTTCCAGTGCGCCGAGCGAAAGGACTGCGTTGGGGTTCCTCGAGAACTTGCTTCAGAAATCTCATTGTTCTAAAATTTATCGAATCATGACGCACATTCACGATCAGACCCATCCATGTCCGCCAAAAATACTAAGAACGATACAGTGCGCAGTCTTTCTTTAGAGCTCGGAAAGAGTCACGCCTATCCACTCGCTGTTTTCATGATCCCTGCAATCCCACCGCGTCCTGCATACGAAGACAGAGAAAATGCGAAACTCGGTATTGGTACTGTAAATGGTGCCGTGAGTGTTGCGTCATCTGCAAATATAGAGCGCTACTACGGTGTTCCCCTGCCACCGCACACAAAACCATAATACTTCGAGGCTTCACAGCCATGATCACTCCTCTTTTGTCCAGATGTCTGAAACTTCGAAAGGCTGCTGACGCAAAAGGATACAATGGTGCGAATAGTCGTCGAAGCACAATACTCCCTCATTCCCGGTCCTGTGTGATCACCCAGAGGTAAAAACACGTGCCCGCAATATTCTGGTAGTTTGAGATCTGCGCTGCCGAGCCATCTCAGGACCAGCGACTAACGTCTCATCGCTTGTAGTCATCGCTCGTAATAAGCTGGATTTCGTGGATCGGCAGTATTTGCCAGCTATATGAGATGACTAAATAGATTCGCTACCATTGCTAGCCAAAGCATGCCGATTCTTGGCTGGTATAGGGATCCTCTCCCAGTCACGACGGGGCTGAAAGGTGTTTTTGTGGGATTGAACAATGCTCCTGTGGGCCTGGAAGTCGTGAGAGAAACCGTGGTATTTGGAAAAGGGAAGCTCGCCACTCCGCTGGTGAAGTGGGTAATCGGAGAGCTTTGTATCGCTCCTGACACCCCCGGATACAAAATGCTGCTAGATGTGACGGCCGAAGGCGTCGTGGTGTTGGTCGTGAGCTGCACCCTTGCAGCGCTTGGCAGATTTCCGAGCAGGACCCAAACCACGGCTTGAATGTTCGAGTCGATTACGTAGAGCTCATTTGTAGATGTGATAGGGCTGGCATCAGGCAGGCTATGGCATCTTACATTGGTGTGATTGCTGGAGGAGGCATGGGCTAGATTGGTACAGTTTCCAGCATTATCGCGGGAGCAGAAGCTGGTCGTCAACAGCATTGAGAGAACTGATATTACGTGCATTTCATTCTGTTAGTGTGGATGAGAATGATTATGATCGGACCCAGTGATACAGTAGATGAGTGGGCACTAACTCTGATTAAGTATTCATCATATAGCCCAGACTATATTTATGGAAGGATGCCCAGATTTAGTCTGGCAAAGTATTGTCACGGGATCCTTTAGTTCCAAATTTAGGCTGATCATACCACATTTGGTCTTTTTGATACACACGAATGGCACTAGATTATATGTGCTACCAATTTCGCACTGTACTGTACATATCATTTTTAGAGACGGACTTGACTTGATGTGATGATGGTGCAGGTACAGTAAAGTCCGAAAAAGTTCAACTCCAATGCAAAGCAGCAGGAAGATCGCCAAGCGGCTGCACAAACTCGACACCCCGGCTGGACTGCGTAATGGAAGCATGCCCGTCTTAGCGCTACGACGGTGATACAGGCAATACGCCCGGAGCACGAAGAACCAGCCAACTGGCATTGCAGAACCAGGTGCGAACTTCTCTAGCGTGACGGACGGCCGGTACCCAATGATATCGTAGCAAATCATTTGAACAGATTTCGGCACCTATTTGATTCGTCATGCGTCCTAAGGACATAGCCACTCCACCTGCACCCCGACTCGATAGTACTGGGCTGAGCTTCTTCCGTTGCAGGACGATCGCCCATCCTCGTCTCCAGATTGAGCCCCATTCCATTCAGCCTCCATCACAAGCAGGGGGTTGGCCCGGAGTGTTGCATAGCTCTCACGTACTGGATCAACCTGCTCTGACACTGCTCATGCCCTTGTGCCATTTCGGGCGACTTACTTGACCGATACTCCAGAAACTCAGGTCAAAAGGAAGCGATCAGGCTGATAACAAGCAAATCAGACATACCATACCAGCTGGTACTATTGACAGTGTGGTAGTAGTGATACAGTATCATGGTGGATTGTCGCATAATTAATTGGGTAGCTCCGAGAGGCCTGTGTGACGGGCGTGCAGTCAGCATTGGCTTCCGATTCGCTCCCAACAGCTGACCTGATGCTAGTAGCTGTCTCAGGGTACATAAAGCCCAAAATCTTAGAGCATCTTGTCAGCGTCTAGAAGAGCAGTGGCAATTGTCAGATGTGACGGGTGCCCAAGAAGTGTGTGCCTGAGGCATCAATATGTCCGTCATGACAAAACCAGCCCCCCAACGGGAGGGGTCGCGCTAGGGAACCAAGACAGGACATCATCACAATACACCCAGTGACCACCCCATCAATTGGACTATTATTACACGTCCCACTTACCTAAAAAGGGTGATAATCTGACAGCAATCTTAATATCATGACGACAAGACCAACGCTTAACCTGCATTCGTGAGTATGTATGGCCTATTTACAACCCGAGGCTTTTGCCTTTTTATGAATAGAAGTGTTTTGGTACGATATCTAGGTCAACGACACCCTAGACATGGGAGCTCGTTCGGTAGAAATGGAGTTTTGAATCAACTCCGGAAGTCATGGTTCCAAGGACAACCGCAAACCCCTTGCCAAACTTCTCAGCACCCATCACGGGAATATCGCCTAATGGCTCTCGAACTCAAGCGCCGAGGCGATTTCCGCGACGTCGACGACCTCTCTGACTTTGAATTCAACGATTTAAACCTCGGCGCCATGTCAGGGTCCCTCGAGTTGTACGGTACAGCTCCTAGGACGTCTACACCACAGTCTCTCGTCGGCCAACAGACTGGCCCCAACTTCCTCCAGCCACACATATATGACCCCCAATCTTCATCCTGGGCATCCTTTAGCAATGAATACAGAACACTTAAGCGGGGAGATATCCTTAAAATTGCATCCTGGAACCTATTTTTCTCTGTTCCCGCCGCCGCCGCTCGTGCCTCCGCCGCCATCGCCTATATGCGGACCATGTTTGGCCAAGAACCTCGCAACCTCGTGGTAATGCTCCAAGAACTCCGCCAAGAATCACTAAAAGTTGTCCTGGAGGACAAGTGGGCTCAACAAAACTTCTCCCTCTCCGATACTGAGCCGCCATACTTCCATTATGCAGGCAACGAATCCTTCGGCGAGGAACCCGACTGCATACCCAGTGAATATTTCACTCTCATGATGATTTCGCGGAATATGCCAATATCGAGCTGCTGCCGTGTCCCCTTCGTCTCCGAAATGGGGAGAGATGCGCTTGTGGTTGACATTCCCGTATCCGAGGACCATGACCCCGAAACATCGGAACGGCCACTTCGCCTGTGCACAACGCACCTTGAATCACTCTACACGGGAGAAGAGCTCCGTTTTCGCCAACTCGTCCAAGTATCAGCGCTACTGAAAGGCACCTCGTCTCAGGGGCAGAGAATCTATGGCGGGCTGGTTGGTGGCGACATGAATTCGGTCGATCCGTCCGAGCACAACACTCACCGAGCACCCGAGGTAGGCCTGAAGGACGTTTGGGAGGATGAGCCGGCGCCGAAAACGCCTGCCTTAAAGCCCTTCCAAAAAGATATCACATATGGTAAAGCCAGAGGAAATACGTGGGGCTACCAATCTGACAGAGCTAGAACACGAAAACGGTTGGACAAGTTTCTCTACACAGGGTTCATTGAGACATTTGCGCTGAGTGAAGCTCAGGATACCACTGGAAAGCTGGGTCGCTTTGGAATTGGGCTGAAAACCAAAGTCGGGTCGGATGATGTTTGGGTCAGCGACCACTTTGGGATCACTGTAGGTATTAAGGTTATCTGAGGGCTTGAATCCTGATAGATAGGTTCACTCGTACTCCCTAATCATTCCTTGCCCATCGAATTCAACCAAGACTTATGTAAGCCAAGAAATAGTGTATACCTAGTGTCTCCTAAAGGAACAGGGAGGGCACAGCAAATGCGAAACTGTGGCATGTACTAGATTCTAGCCGAGACCAAAGGGATCCCACTCAGCACTTGTGACTCGTGTCGTACAGCCAGACTCGGGCCTCATTTGCAGGTGCCAAAGCCTGGTTAATTGTCGACGGTCTCGACCAGGCCGGGCTTCAGCTGCTCATCTCAAAGACGAGGTCAACAGTACAGAAAGTATTTACCAGCGGCAACTTCATGCCGTCATTCGCCCAGGATCAGACTACTTTAGCTGGGTCTTTGAATTCCTTGGGCGCTGTTCACCGCAGACAAACCGGCAAAGAGTCGCAGCATGGATGGAGAGGGGCTCGGTTTCACTAATTCAACCCCTGCCCAATGTGAATGGCACAGAGATGAGTATAATGCAAACTTGGGTAGGTTTTACAAGGGAGAAAGACGAAGCATTTTACTTATCAGAAGAGTGTTAAACAACAAGACTCCAGTGTGACCGAGGGTCAAGAGGCATGGAGCGTGGAGCAGAAGAGCTTGACTGACGCCCAACGGGAAGGACTGGATATCAGTGCATCAGACTGGTGTGGGGTTGCACCGTTTGATGATGCTGGAAGTCTACGACAGCTTAGAAACGCCGCCGCGAGAGTTCTTGGGTCGCCTGCAGGTGAAGAGTCTCTTTGAGCCCTGATTGATGCCGCGATCGAGGAAAGGTTGGATGCCAGGCTCCAAGCCCACAAATCAGGTGCTATGCACGTGATAAAGCAGGCGGGAAAGCGGATTGTTGCAAAGGTCGTGGAAAACTTGGACCAGCGCATTCACGCCGCTGTTGAGGCTCAAATGGTGAATGCTTTGGATAACAGGAATTACGATGTCGTTGAGAAAAGAGTGCAGGAAGAGACGGAAGACGTCGAGTCGACTATCATACAGAATATCGCCGAATGCTCCACTGGAAGCTAGCATTTCATTTCCAAATCGTCCTTGTTATGAAAAGACTCATCACGCCCTTAAGTATCCTTTCTTCCGAAGTTTCGTGAAAACAGCCTTGGTTGCTTGTTTGGAGCGCACTCGATGGGTAGAACCTGGCATTTCCTGGTCTTGGGCGCTATCACTAGCATTCCTTCGCAAGCAAACATTCTCATCCACTAATCGTGACCACTGAAAAAATTGCTTCTTGTCCTCATTGCTGAGTCCTGCAACTGCCAGGCCTGTGTGCTGGCCGCCTGCAAGATGGAGGTAAAAGCCACAAAGTGTGATATTTTGAAGAACGTCAGGACGCCGAGGGGGTAGCTCTCCACGCATCAGCCATTCAGCCTCTGACGGAACTCCAGGAAACTCTTCATGACCCACAACCTCCGCAATTGTTTTTAGGTATCCCTTGAATCTGTCTTAGATCTCGTGTTTTGAACTCCGGAAAAGAAAAATTAGATCTCGAACTCAAGGGAATTAGTGCCTGTTACTCACACGATATGTTCAATGGAGAATCCGCGCCTCCAAATAAACCTGAAGGTTGATGTCAGTCGAACACCGCGAACACAGCACCTTTAGATGATCACGATCGTCGTCTGAGCCCACACTGGCATGTTCGAAGAAATGTTTTTGGGTGAATTCCAAGAATAGCTCTTGACCATGAGCCTCGGCCTCTAAGTATGCTGGCCCGAATGAAAGTGACTTCTGCTCGCCAATAGTTGGTCTGTTGATGTATCAGCTAGTATTTACAATATCTGCATATGAACTTACGGCGAGATAGTGGCATGTCGGCAGCCGAAACCAGAGAAGCCACCGTCGGGTTCGCAAGTCGTATCTCCCCTATTTCTCCACGGCAAGGCTGGAAATGCCGCCATCAGAACAGCTGTCGAGGGAGTCGAGGAGATCAGGTGAATCGGAACGACTATCCCAAGGCTCAGTATCGGGGAGGGTCGAGGGTGGGATGGGCAATTCGACCTCTGACGATAGAGGAAATGCGACAGATAGGGTTCCAGGAAAGGTGCCGGGATCGGTCAAGTCCCATGTCATGATAGCTGGATCACTAAACGGCAATTGTTCCTGCATTTTGTCCTGAAGTGGGGAAGAAATCGGTGGAGATGCTCTGACAAGTTGTGCATTTGTCAAGTGATGTGAGGCAGTAGGCGCCCCCACCACGGTTCCAGTACACACCCTGATCCCACTTCCAGGTCCCACCACACCCAGATCCCAGCTCTGGGCTACATCGCGCCTTAGCAAGTCCAGCTAGAGCAGTAAGATTCATTTCATTGAAGCAGCAATACTTGTTGTGACCAAAGGACATGTCTGTTGTACTGCAGATTCTGCCATCTCGGTGAGACGATAGCAAATAGGTATAACCTCTTTAGGACAAGCCTGCTGGATTCGAGTTGCTACTTTGCATAAAGTTCTGCTGCTTATTTTAAGATCGTTTCTATGAAAAATAATTAGTACTGAATATAGGTAGGGTAGCTTACATACAGGATTGCCTCAGCTGCTTCTGAATAGACCAGAAGAAAGAATGGTGATAGCCCTGACATCGTCACTATGCGTTTGCCGATTCGCCTGCGCTGATCTACTATTTTGCGCCTCAAATTTGGTTGTCTCGGCCGTTCTTGGGCGCATGTATATATGTCAATAGCAATGCTCGTATTGCCATAACCAGAGGCGTAGTGCACTCCCTTCCTTCTCTCGGATTCTATAATAGCTTCAAGATGTCCAAAAAGTCGCATTAAATGGAAATAAGCTAATCTCCTCAATAGGTATGTGTTTTTCTGCCTAAGAATAATACTGTCTACAGCTTTAAAGGCGGCTGTGATGAGTGGATCTGAGCTAGGGGTATTACTGGGAAGTGCAGTCTCTCTAAGTAGTGCGACCCAATCTGTCATGGTGTTCTCACATTTATCCGCGAAGGTTCTTATTGGATCGTGGCTAGCGAGCCTTTGATTAAGGTGAGTCGCTTGTCGTATGTTTCTCTTGTACATCTTCCCAAACTCTTTCCCTGGGTACTTTCCCGGCTGGCTCTCGCGGGGATGGATCAGGCTGGGCAACTCATAGCTTGATTTATTTGCTAGTGCTTCACCAGATGAGCCTTCATGTTTCTTGCTTTCGTATTTACGATGGAAGGCTATAGTGTCCTTCATGGTCTGGGTGGGCCTTAGCCCTATGCCGCCTTCCAAGGAGAACTTACTATTGCCATGCCAAATGTCGGCATGTGCTTCAGCCTCTTGATCGAGGTCCACAGGGTCATAAATGGCTTGGACCCTCCAATTCTTCTCATGATTAACGTTCTTCTCGATTTTGTTGGTATTCATGGCATTGCCAGCCTCAATCACTCGCATCTACCTCAGGGCCTGTGGGCCCAAGGTCGCGGGCAGGACCGCGAGAGCAGGGTTTCGCAATAGCTGCACCAGTATCCCGTTTCTCGACCTACTTCTCTTGGCAGGCAAAACTGATCTGACATTGTGTGTGCCCAACATAGGGGCTGCTGTACCCTGGTCCCCGGTTCTTGGACTGTTGTCCTAACATTAAGTATCAAACTTTTGCCCTAAAGTTATTTTATTTTTGTTGTCCTTTCCCAAACGCATTTCTATCCAAACCACCCTAATTACATCTTAACTATCTGTTCACTTACATTTACGCAAGACACAGAATGGCCTCTATTAACTTCGCTGCCGGCAGCAATGTCAACGATATCCTCATGTTTGGTAGATACTGCCAAAGGATCCTAGCCATGGAACCGGGCAGCGTCTACGGGATGAAGCCTCTAAAGCCTGAGGAGGCAGCATCTATCAGCGGGACTGCGGCTTACGACGACTCGACTGCGGCGGTAGTCTGTAAGGAGAGGCTGGACCTCGGGCTTGACTACTACTACGCAGTCAAGCAACAGATAATGTCGCTTCTTCGGGTATGGGATGCTATACTGGACGAAAAACGCCGCTACGATACGGTGGGCTGGCTAGAAAGGAGCCGTACATTCATGGATTCCTTCCAGCTTTGTTCGTACCTGATCCCACAGCGGGTCAGTATCGGATTTCTCGGCCCTGATGTGGGCGCTCCACAGCTTGGACCGCAGAACACCATTCCGGCATCAAGCTCTCAGGCCTCCTACTATTCTACTACGTCAACTATCGTCAATACGCCCACGGACTGGGCTGACTATGAGAACTCCATGTATGATTCTGGCTATGGAGGGGGAAGCCCCTCCGGGACTGAGGAATACCCAGAGGGCCTTGCAATCTCGCCAACTGCCTCGAACGATAGCTTCGAGAATGGTGATTTCGGAGATGGGGGGGGCCGAGATCGTCATAATTTCTAGGGACGACGACGCTAGTGAGAGCGAATACAGCTACCATAGCAGCGACAGCGACGATAGCGATCAGAGTGAGGTTCCTAATTTTCCCAATAAACTCAACAGCAGAAGCGGGCCGAGGGCCGGCTTCAGGG